CGGGCGGTGCTGCCCCTCCGCGGCCCGGCCTGAAGTGGAGCCAGGCGGCCCACAAGCGCCCCGGGGACGTGGTGAGCTTCGGACGAGGCTTTTTTTGCCATGAACTCGCCCAAATTCTTTCCAAACGCGGCTCCCGTCTCCCAGCCCCCGCCGCTGGGTCTGCGGCTCCAGGGTGCGTCAGGCGAAGGATTCGGCTCATTTCACCCCCAGAGAGAGAAAACCAGGGTCTCTGTTCCCCGCCACCCTCCCTCTGCCGCTCCTACAGACCTTCCCCATATCCCTGGTCACTCGTTTCTTTCCCAGTCCTTCCTCACATCCCCATCACTCGTTTCTTTTCCAGACCATCCTCATCCCCATCACTCGTTTCTTTCCCAGACCTTCCTCACATCCCCATCACTCGTTTCTTTCCCAGACCTTCCTCATATCCCCATCACTCGTTTCTTTCCCAGACCTTCCTCATATCCCCATCACTCGTTTCTTTCCCAGAGTCACATTTGATGCAGCTCTGCCTTCGCAGAAGCTGTTTCATCTCCTGTTCTGTCTCATTAAAATCCTTCTGCAATTCTGCACTCAGCATTTATTAGATCATTATTACACTGAGTAACCTCAGCGGTGGATGTTGGCACCTTCCTGATTCATTACTTTTTCCCCCAATTATTTTTTAATATATTGGGCATCCCACTGCTGACCTCTCTCCACACAAAACCCACTCCCTTTAACTCTTTCTTTCTGTCTTTTAAACAGTTCTTTGTCCAGTTTATGACATTCCCCTTTTCCCAGAGCAGCTTTTTTCTTTAAGTGCCTTGAGCAAAGTAATGATCAAGTGCATTTTGGAAGCTCAAGCAGATTGTACCAACCAAATTCCCTTTATTCCCTGCTTGTTGATACCATTAAAACAATTCCAATTGAGTTTCGAAGCACAACTTCCCCAAACAAAACCAGTGCTGACTCCTCCCCAGTATTCAGCCATGAACTCTGCATCACAGCACCTGTGAATCTGCAAAGTGCAAGTGCTACGTTCACCTGGCTGGAGTTTGTCACATCCACCCTGAAACTGATTTCCAAAGCTGTTGTCACATTTGCTGAGGGTACCGAGGGAGAGGTCACCATCCCACCTTCATCCCTGAGCTCCCTCAGAGACAGAGGTGCCACTCGTTACTGCTCATTTCATCTGAACTTTAATCTCTCCTAAAAGCACTTGAGTTTTAAACAGATTATCTCCGTATGGAAGTGCTCCTGTGTGAACTCGTGCAGTGAACACAAACAATTCACTTGGTTTTTCTCTGCTGGGATTTCATCTTCAGGTCAGACCTTCCCTTTCCTGTGTATCACATCTACTGACTGTGGCAGTCTCCCCCGCTCCTGATTTTTTCTAAAATTATCTGTGCAAATTTTATGACTTGAATATTCTTCATATTCCATTTTCCTTTGCATTATCTTGGGGTTTGGGGGTTTTTTTGTTTGTTTGTTTTTTTCACATTTCACCTGCCAAATCTCATTCTGTCCCATCTTCTACATTCGGACACCAGTTTATAAAGGATTTCTTCTTACTCTACAAGCATCCCACAGCACACTGCTGTTTAATCACACCAACCTCCTTCTGGCCTCTCTCTAGTCTGTTTTGATGGGTGGTAAACATTTGCTCCTGGTATATCTTCCAGTCTCCATGCCACCTACAAACATTTAAAAGCCTTTCAGCTGCCCCTTTTATCTTCACCAGTTGCATTTAAAATGAAATCACCGCCGCAAACTTGAAAATATAATCCTGTTGGGTGTATTAAAGGCTCAAATATCACAAGGCAAACACCAAGCCCTGCAAAACATTACATGTCAGATTTTGTGTTGCTTAAGCCAACCACGATCATTATCAGTTTGAATTGTGACTTCTGAATGTTTGGGATTGGTAATACCACCCGATTTTGATACGAAGGAGAGTACCTGGGGGAAAGTATCAGCATTTCATGGTGTGTTTCCACAGCCCCTCCATCACAGCCAGCACCAATAAAGCTGCAGGCTCCTGACATCAGCTGAATTAACCACTTGCAACTCTGACAGAAATCTTTTTCCAGACTCTCCCAAAGGCTCTAGAAGCTCATAGAGTCCTCTTGGAACTGGCTTACACCAGACAGATGTTCACCCTCTCCTGGTGACTCAAGATCAACCAGTGTGACCCACCAGCAGAACTCTTTCAGACCCAGACATCCCCATCAGCTGTGTTCACAAGGACACGGCAGCACAGCTGGTGGCAAAGCCAAGCCCGAGGGACTGCGCTGGCCTCAAGAGCCAAGTTCTGTCTCCCAAAAGCACAACCCATCAGCAGATCCTCAAGCAGCTTGCCAGGCATCACCATGTAGAGACAGATGGCTGTAGAACAGGCTGTGCAGGTGCAGAGTACCCTGATCCTCACCCACCACTTCCATTCTCTCTCTCTCTCACCATACTCTTCATAGCCCAGCAAGTGTGACCATGTTTCCCCCCAAAAGTCCTCTGGAGCCCAAAAAGATGTTCCTATCTAGGAAACCTGACTCATTAAACCTTGTTTTGGTCCACAGGTGAGCCAGGGGTGTGTACAAATAGAGTACATTCCATGCTTCAGGTAGGAATAAAAGATACAGATGTAGGGTTTTTTTTTTCCTTGCAGGAAACATCTTGGAGAGTATCTCCATCAGAGTAAGTCCTTGAAAAATCAGCTCATTTACCAGCACTGCACAGGCCTGCTCCAAAATAAATGACCATATACTCTAACCCTCTGCTTTTTAAATACCTGCCCACATGAGGATATCCACGTCAGCCCCGTTTCTTTAAGGAGGGAAAGGAAATCCTTTACCAGAGCTTAATTCTCTGGAAATCCACACAGGTTATGTGGTTTGATATGAAGCAGAGCTGCCGTGTTCAAGTGTAACTGGTTCCATTTCTGACACACCTTGCAAAAAGGGAAGATCTCTTTACAAAAGATCTTCTGCCAGAAGCGTTGATCACACAACTTCTCACACCAACCAGGAAAAACTGTTCTGCAGGCAGTGACACGTTTACTGCCATCCCAGGATCTTTCCAAGAGTTAAAAAATCCCTGTGGCCACTTCCCTCCTCTGGCACAAGGACAGTCTGGAGTCAAAGGTCACACATTGAAGTCAGAACCTGTCTTGTCTCACCAAACCCTTTCAGGATCTCCAAGCAACTTGTTTAATTTTCATTCTGTTGATGATTTAACAGACCCCCTAAGCCAGTGGCCATCTTCCCCTCTCCCACCTGCTTCACCCCTTCCTCCCACATTCACTGGGATCACCCTAAGCACCCACCATCCCATTTTTGCAGACTCTTTAGCTCCAGTCTCACCCTTCCTTCCTCCCCTTCATCTGCTGCTCAAGAGGAATCTCCCCACTGCCCCATCAGGGCTTCCTCAGCAGCCTGTCCTTGTCCTCACAGCTCCTTGCAGCAACACAACAAACCTGAGGACTAACCATGACTATTTTCCCTGCTCAGTGCTGCAGGAGTGTTTAAATGCTCCAAGGCTGCACTTCGGGTTCCTAAGCAAGATTACTGGAAATACAAAGGAAAACTGGCAAGACAAATAGCAGCTTTTTAAAAAGGCAAGAAAAAAAACCCCAAAAAGAGTCAAAACTTCTTCCCTTTTCAATGGATTACCTCAAATAATTTAAAAAAATTACTCCCGATGTCTTGTTTTATATTCATCAAAAACTGTACAGTTCATTTAAAGCAAATAATCGAATGTTTCCTTAAAAAAAGAAAAAAGTGTCACTCATTACAGGAAATTTCATTAGGTCCTGCTTGGCTTCTTCATACTTCAGGGCATTTTAGGCTGTCTGAACAGAAAGTTACAGTATAACCATGAATTTAGAGTTGCAACTCGACAGCGTGCCTACCACGTGAACTTCCAGCAGGAACCTTCAGAATTTGTTATTCCCCAAGATGCTTAAAGCCAAAGTACGAAACCCACCAAAAACTAAGAATTAAGAACTTCCTGTGCAGATATTAGAAACATAACACAATATTGGAAGTCCACAGCAGTTTGGTTTTTCAAACAGAAGCAAGATCAACATTGCAACATGAAGTGGCAAAGTGAATCCTGATTGAAAACGTAAATTCTCAATGGCTTTAAAAAAAATTAAATTAAATTAAATTGAAATACCTATTTCACTAAACAACTCTGAGAAAGGGTCTGCATCAAGCATTCAGCAGCTCACATGCTTCTGCTGTCAAGTAAGACTAACACCTGACACTAAATCATCCATTTAGTTCTTCAGGAAACTCAGTTGATATTCCTCATATTTCTAAGGCAAAAATGAAAAAGAAAAATTTCAGATTATACACGATAAAATGTCTGAAGAGAAAAACAAACAGGTGTGTACTCTGCAATTCCAATCCTCCTCCCATATTATTTGTACTTGTTATTACATTAAAAAAATAATCCAAAAGTGATTCTTGGATTGATGGCATCTCTTTAAAAAAAAAATGAATAAATAACTCAATTTACCAAATATTAGATCATGACATCACATTAGTATTCGCTGTGCTTACAGGGAAGCCATGAGGGCAACCACATCCACACACAGCCGACTACCTGAGCTTCCCTACAACCACTTGATAGACAAAGATCTCATAAGAAGAAAGCTCCTTCAGCTTCCCAAAACCACTGGCTGCTTAAAGCACCACCTCCAGCAGCGAGGGATGTGTGCACAGACCCCAGGCGGCTCCCTTCCCTCCGCTCCAGTTCCTGGTTCTTACCCAGCAGGTATTTCCAATGTCCAAGCGTGACTGTGCTCTGACAGCAGCTGGGAGGGAAGGGGAGAAAGCTAGAGAGCAGACAAGGACTCATTCCAACCTTTACTTTGTTTGCCTCTCTTTTTTTTTTTCTCTTTTTTAAAATATAACTTCCATGCAGAGTTCTCCAGAGTCACTGCTGATGTCGGAGCCTGTCTTCTGGCCTTGGCACTGCCACGGACACTTCCAGCCACATGGGAGGAAAAGTTTTTGCTACAGGACTTTCTTTTTTTTTTTTTTTTTACTTTTTTTTTTTAACTTTTAGGCCAACACCATGTTCTCATTGAACATCACAGTTAATGTGTCCTATCAAGAATTTCTAACAAAAACTGTACATGAGTTTACAAACGTTATTAACATATAAATAATGAGAAGCTTCCTGCTTGGAGCCTCTACAGTAGTCTTTTTGCTTGAGAATATAATACTGGAAGGGTAAACCCAATCCCTTTCCACAGCACCAGTCAGAGCTGGCTTCAGTCCAGTCAGCCGTTCTGCTCAAGCATCACAGGGTTGGTTTTTTCTTCTGTCAGTGCCTCTGGCTTCAATAAGCAGTCTGTCATTACTGTGCAAAAGCAAGAGTCCAATGCCTTTGAGAAGGAATCCTGCTGCTAAAGAGGCCTCTGCCACCCGGTCATCGTTCTGGTCCGAGTTCTTGTTGGAAGGTCCTTTTCTTCTCCCGACAGTGTTTCTTGTGAGCAGGCCAGTCCTTTTGCTGGCACTGTGACCCACAGTACCTCGCTACCTGGCATCGGCCGCAGATGTTGAATTCACGTAACTAGGAAGAACACGAGATGGTGTTAGTGAACCTGCTCGGTGCCCAGGAGCACCCCTGCATCATTTCCCACATAGGTTTATGATCATCTTTTGTACCCATCCCAAATGTGAACATCCCACCAGGAACATCAGAGCAGCAACAGGTTTTGAAGTGATTGCATCTGTTGGGTTTTGCAGTTGCTCTTGCAGAATGGGCCTAATAAACAAAACACTTGAGCGCTTCCGTTTGTTCTCACACTGCTACTGCTCTGTCAACTCAAGTTCTGTTTTCAACTACAAACATCTTAAATTCAGAAATGATTCTGAGGGTGGCACAAGCTCAGCCACTGCCAAACTTACAGAATCACAGGATGTCAGGGATTGGAAGAGACCTCGAAAGATCACCCAGTCCAATCCCCCTGCCAGAGCAGGAACCTCAATGAGATCACACAGGAAGGCGTCCAGGCGGGTCTTGAATGTCTCCAGAGAAGGAGACTCCACACCCTCCCTGGGCAGCCTGTCCCAGGGCTCTGTCACCCTCACTGGAAAGAAGTTCCTTCTCAGGTTTAAGCAGAACCTCCTGTGTTCCAGCTCACACCCATTGCCCCTTGTCCTATCATTGGACATCACTGAGAAGAGCCTGGCTCCATCCTCATGACATTCACCCTTTAGATATTTATAAACATTAATGAGGTCTCCCCTCATTCTCCCCTCATTCTCCTCTTCTCCAGGAAGCTCTCGTATGCAGACCCAAATAAAAGGCAAAGCTCATGTTTTTTCAAATGAAGGGCATTTCAGAAAGTTTTTGCAAATGTTCCCTTTCCCAAATAAAAAAATTGGATCACAAAGCATTTGTTACCACAAGAAAATCCCTTCTCATTCATAGATAAGGACATCTGCCTGACAAAGAGACACAGCCTTTGGACACCTTATTCCCTGCCATTATCTGACTGTCTATGTTGCTCTGTTTCATTTACCCACAGCTAAGAGCTAGAACCAGCTTTGCTCCCAGTTCTCCCCTGAATAAAGGCCGCTCAGATTCACCCTCTTCTCACAAAAGGTCAAGCACGTTATTTTTTTATTCCACTACCTCCCAAAACCTCTTCCAATGCTTTCTCCTGTCTGCTTGCTCATTCCAGCTCTGGGTCCCTCGAGGAACGCTTCCACCTGTACACTCTGCAGGAATCACACTCCTCCTAGTGAATCACTAGGTCATTTACTGTCCCAATTCAAAACTACAACCTCTCAAACTGAAAATTATTGTAGGGTCTGAAGATTCATGCCAAAGAAAACCTGAATTCTCACTTTTAGTAACTGAATGGCACACGTGAAGCTTTACATTTGAAGGAACAAACCCCTGGACACATGAGGTAGGAGGAGTCATTACATCCTTCCTTCCCACTCTTTTGAACACACCTGTTTTTCAATCATGGTGCACGGGGGGTAGTGACATTCATAATATGTGCACGAGTTCTCTTCCTCCTCCACAACGTCCCCGTTAGCGTTGTAATACCGTGTTACATTCAGGACAGGGAACTGCTCTTCTATAGGATCTGTAGGAAGCTGTTGGATTGCCAGCCAGTACAGACTTTGTTCCCTGTAAAAAACAGAGAGTGTGCTCCATAAATTCATAAGCATACGTGGAAAATTTATCCTAAATCCATTAATAAAGTAGGTAGGGTTAACATTAGATTTAGCCTGTTGAGCCTCAGACTATGTGTCCCCCTCAAATGTAGCATCTTTTTAGGGTTATTTTAGTCTAAGTGGGGAAAAAAAAAAGCTTCTATCAAGACACACGTCCATCAAGCAAAATGATTTCTGTGTGAATGGCCTGACATCTGTTTCTCATTCTGGCACTCCCAGAAACACGCTAGGACAGCGTCACTGCCGTTCACTACATCTCCTTCAAGTCAATTTAATAAGCTCTGAACATCTCTATCTTATGGGTGCTGCAGAAAAGTGCCCAGTGTGATGTTAAGTCTGTGGGTGAAAAATGAACACACCTGCATTACATCCTAAATGACATGATAAATTAAACAAACCCATCGTGGCATTAGGAGCTTGATGTGCTCTGAGTAACATCAGTGCAACAAGGCACGTAGGAAGTTCCCCCAACCCGCTAAGTGAAAGGTGATAGCTGATCCCAGGAATTATTTGTTTTCAACCCAAATAATCTGATTACAAGAGTAATCTCAGCAGTCACAGCTGCTGGATTCTACAGGTTGTGTTAGAATTCCGGTGTCTGAGGACAAGAGCCACAAGGCAGCAAAATCTGCAGACTGAATTCAGCGTGCCCAGATGCCACCACTCCAGCAGAAGGGAACACAGGCTTCCTGCTTTACTGGGGTGACAACACCTGGCACAGCAGAACCTCTGTGTAACACCACGGGGTTAGGTGGTCCCTTCACAGCTAGCATGGACAGTGAGCATTAACTCTGTTCCCCAGGTGAGGAAACCAAGATGTATGGTGTGTAAGTAGCACAAGGCCAAATAAAAAAGTCTCTTCTGAGATGAAAAAAAAATCACTAAAGGAAGGAGATGCAACAATTTAAGATATTTTCAACTTTTTTGACAGCAACCTCCTGCCAAATATTGATGTACCTTTGTTTACTGGAGATTTCTTCAGCTTTGGGTTTCCACCCCCATGGAACAAGGCGCAGATTGTCTAGGCGGTTGTCCACCGTCACTGAATTCAGATGTACCACCTGAAACCCAGGAGCGATCCCTCCCCGGTGTCTTTCCCTGGAGGAGACAAATACAACTTGAAGGTCAGTGATGAACAAGACCCCGTAGCCAAAAATCAAATCAGACTGATCCCAGAAGACAGGCTGCACTCTAACCTGCTGGCTGGAGTCACTGCCACACTCACAATAAAACTTGGGTTGCCAACAGGCTACAGATAAATCAACTCCCAGAAGAAAGAGGCTTATTCCAGGAGGTTATTTGCATTATAAATGAGTTAAATTCAAAAGACAATCATTATATATTATAATTGTAAGCATATTGCAAAGAAAGTTCCAGAGGCTACTACTCCAGTTACTGCAAGAGCACCTACGTAATTACTGTGTCCCACAGAGCAGACTTGAAAGGTGTCAATACTGGTTTATTATTTTAATAAGAAATTCTACCAGACACATTTATGCAACTTTTGTCCACCCAGTGTGAAATCACAGGGTTTGTTATTTATGAAGAAATATCTCTTAACAAGCAACAGGACAGAGGTTTCACCACGTATATAAATGGTTTTTAGACTCTTAATTGTGCATAACACATAGAAAGTCTGTAATGACTCCACAATCACCAAGAGACACCGACTGGAACTTGCTCAAACCCAAAGCAGGACTATTACCCAGGAGGATGGCAGCACGTTAAATCCAGTTGGGATTCTTCCCTAATGCTTCCCAATATTTTAATTTCCCATTCTGCTTTCTTTTCATCTCATTTAATGAAGTACTGAGTTCACTGTCAAGCATCCTTACGCCTGGATGAGTTTCTGTATCACCCCTTGCAGGAATCCCCATCCCATCTGACGTGTAAGGCTTGGACAGAAGTTGTGTCTGGGTGTGTTTGCTATGCCATGATTAAATTCACAGCACAGACAGAACCTACCAGCAGCAATCAAACAATGCAACACTGACAGCCCTGTCTGAGACTGACCCACCATCCCTTCTAGACCCTTCCAACAGCTACTTACACCTTCACCCAGCTCTGGTTTGGATGCTGCGTCCAGCTCAGCGTTAACTGAACATTTCAGTTCAAATGGCTCCTTCAATTCTGAAGATACAATTTGTCCAAGTTTAAAAATTCCCACTTTTTTTGTTTTCCCCTTTAGCATTATCCATCAGAACAGGGAAATTCATGTCCTGTGAGTTCCCGGCTGAGGGAACTGGGGGTGTTGAGCCTGGAGAAAAGGAGGCTGAGGGGAGACCTTCTGGCTCTGTCCAAGTCCCTTGGAGGAGGGTGGAGAGAGGTGGGGGTGGGTCTGTTCAAGCAAGGACCAAGGGACAGGACAAGAGGAAATGGGCTCCAGTTGTGGCCAGGGCAGTTGAGATGGGATGTGAGGAAGAATTTCTTTGCTGAAAGGGTTCTGAGGCATTGGAAGGGGTTGCCCAGGGCAGTGGTGGAGTCCCCATCCCTGGAGGGATTGAAGAGTCGTGTAGACACAGTGCTGAGGGACATGGGTTAGTCGGGGACTTGTCAGTGTTGGGTTCATGGTTGGACTCGATGATCTTAAAGAGCTTTTCCAATCCAGGCCATTCTGCAACTTCAACGTGACTGACAATGAAAAACGTTAATTGGTTGTCATCTTTGTCAAAATCCCTCTGGTTATGGCTAAATTACATACCACGGGACAGAAAAACACTTGCAATTCACAGGTGCCCCAAAACTTCAGAGAATTTAATGAGTAAAATTCCCTTGAAGAGGCTACACACAGTGCCCAGGAAAACCAATGCTCCTTGGAAGGGGAGCCCTGCATGAGAACAGAGCATCAGGAACCTTCTGGGCCTCCAGGAAACAGGGAGAAGTTCTCCCCTTGGAAGGGAAAAGGAATAAAATCCTCCTTTATGGGAGGGGGGGGGAAGCCCCACACAAAATCAAACAAAGGATGAAAAGGAGCCTGCTGAAAGGCCCTGAAGGAGGAACAGCTACTAGTTGTCACAGGCTACTGGAGGGTCTGGCAAAGGAAACTGGGAATCCAGGAGGTACATGGACCCAGAGGAGATGAAGGTGAACATCAGTCAGATCCAGAGACAGGGAAGGAATTAAGGTTCTTAGATTGAGAGTAGAACAAAGTGCTGAGAAGAGAGATGGGATAGATGTGAAGGAGGAATCTGGGAGGAGAGAGAAGTTCAAGAGCAAATTCTGCAAGGGGGGAAAGGGAGGAGGGGAGTCTAAATCCAAGTTAAGAACTATTTTTGAAATGGATGAGATAATGAGAGTTTAAGAAAGGTTGGAGTTGGGGAAAGAGAGAGGATTATGTGAGATTGTTTGTGACAGCAGGAAGCCACAGCAGAGGGGCACACACCTACCACTGCTCCTACAAAGCCTAGGTCTGCACCCAAACCCAAATACTGATGAAATTCATCAGCACACTGAGCCCACTCTCCTCATTTTGTATAAATCCACATTAGTTTACCTTGCTGCCAGTTTTTCTGTCACCTCAAGTGACAAAGGTCTTAAAGGAAATGTGGAAATTGGCTTTTGCTGATGACCAGGGGTGACAACACCCCCTGACTGAGATGCCAGAAGTAGCACAGCAAATTCAGGACTGTCCCTTTTCTCCAGACATAATCAAACAACCTTTGAGGGCTCAAGCACCTTCTCCTCTCCCTAGAGCTACACTTCAAAAGTGTGCAGCACGGATCACCTCCAGAAGTTCATCAGAAACGTGGGGTGAAGGACAGGCACATGGAGGAACCTGCCTTCTCCTTGCAGGAGACAGAGAGGAAACAGAGTCAATAAAGCAGCCAACTCTGGGGCAAAGCTGTAGCTTCCACCTCCCCCAGCACACCCCTGTTTTCACAAGATGCCAGGCAAAACACTCAAACCACAACTTTTCAGAGAATTATCTGCATTTGGTGTAGTTCAGCAGCTCACTTCAGAAGCGAGGCCGGTAAGAAAAGCACCAAGTGCAGAGAACAGCAAGTCAACTGAGCAGCTCACAGGCAAAACGCTGGCAAGGGCTCTAAAAAACCCCCAGAAATGGGGTCTGAGATGTCTTTTTGAACACACAGTTTGTGACACTTATGACTAATCATCCCCCTGATGCTGCTGTTCCCCAGGGAACATCACCACAACCCAGCCAAAATACAGCACGCTGGGGTTTCTATACAGGGAACAGGCTGAGAAGAAGATGACAGACTCATCCTGCAGGTCCCCAGCCAGAGACTTGCACACCCTGCTGTGGAGGAGCTAACAGCCCATCCTGGAGACACAGCCATGAGGGTGTCTCTGTAATTCCAGCTGACACAGTGCAGGTCAGTGTATCTGCCTGACCCAGTCTCCTGATGTCTTTAGAAACCCATTTGGCTACAGGTGCCAAAATGTAGCTACTGCCCCTCCCAAATGGAGCAGCCACAATGTCCAGTTTGACTGACCCGAGCTGGGGACTGCTGTGGTAACGAAAAAGAAACGTTATCTTAGTGGCAGGTCCTTCCCTTTGTGAGAAGGAGTGATGCTGAAGGTTTTGGAGCCTTCACAAGACAGGAGAGATGGGAGAAGTTCTCCCCTTGGAAGGGAAAAGGAATAAAATCCTCCTTTATGGGAGGGGGGGGGAAGCCCCACACAAAATCAAACAAAGGATGAAAAGGAGCCTGCTGAAAGGCCCTGAAGGAGGAACAGCTACTTTGGAGCTCTCACAGGCTACTGGAGGGTCTGGCAAGAGCCAATTTCCACATTTCCTTTAAGACCTTTGTCACTTGAGGTGACAGAAAAACTGGCAGCAAGGTAAACTAATGTGGATTTATACAAAGTGAGGAGAGTGGGCTCAGTGTGCTGATGAACTTCATCAGTATTTGGGTTTGGGTGCAGACCTAGGCTCTGCAGGAGCAGCGGTAGGTGTGTGCCCTTCTGCTCAATATTTGCAGCAAATGTGGGTATTTTTCTAGTGGTTCCCACTTTGCAGCCCAGTTCACACTCTGCAGAGGTCAGCAGGGCTTTGGGGAAGAACAGGAGAAGGTCCCTGCCGTTGCTGCAGCGTCGGTAGCCACCAGCTTCCTATTTTGAAGGCTGTACTATGTGAGCAAAGATATTTGCTTAAATAAATTCTTTAAAAAATTAAAAATCTGCTTTACTTGCAGTAGCATCCAACACTTGCCTACTTACTTCATCTGAAACCAGAAGCACACAAGCTGGTTAGTTTTTTTTCCAGAGTGAGATGATTTTTTGGGGTATGTTTGGGGGAGAACAGTTAATTACACTCCTATACCTGCAGTAATTCGAGTTCTTTGCTTTTAATTTACCCAAGAAATAAGGTTGGCACTGAAAATACTGACTGCTACTGGCACTGAAAATACTGACTGCTACTGCCCATCTCTCCTGTCTTGTGAAGGCTCCAAAACCTTCAGCATCACTCCTCCTCACAAAGGGAAGGACCTGCCACTAAGATAACGTTTCTTTTTTGTTACCACAGCAGTCCCCAGCTCGGGTCAGTCAAACTGGACATTGTGGCTGGGCCCTTTCTGCGGGGCAGGAGCTACATTTTGGCACCTGTAGCCAAATGGGTTTCTAAAGACATCAGGAGACTGGGTCAGGCAGATACATTGACCTGCACTGTGTCAGCTGGTAATTACAGATACACCCTGAGAGGCAGCAAAGTGAACTTACCCAAACAGCTGAAATACTTTGTATTTTCTAATTGAAAAACCTGACTTTGCAACTTCCAAACTCCAGCTCCCCGTGCCTGACAGTTCACACCCCCCCTTTGTGACTTCCCAAAATCCCCATTACACGCACAGCCTCGGATTTTTTTTAACTCCAGAGTGACACAATTTGAATCACCTAACTGAAGACATGAGAATTATTTCTTCATTCCAGGAAAACCAACCCGAAGAGGCAACGACTGGGCTGCCTAATAAGCAAATAGCTGGACTGTCATCACCTCCACAGCCTGCAGCAACCAGCTGGAGTAATTTTCAGGTGCTGTTTAGCACTACTCACAGACAACAATTATTACTGTCTGAGGTTCACAGTTAGCAGAGGCTGACAGTGATTCACCTCACACACCACAGCCAACTGTACAACAATTTTCATCAAAGTTAAACGTGCAGCAAGATTAAATATTAACAGAGGCAGGTTAAAATCCATATTTAATGAGCAGATTGGAAATAATAGTAATAGTCTCTGATATTTTTCCTGTTTCCCTCCTCTTGTACAGGGGAGATTGGGGACAAAATGTAACCTGGAAGCATAAAAAATAGCACAGTTGACTGTGCACCATGACTACTAAGTATAGTTTATGGAAATAGAATAGAAAACATGATTAATTTATCAAAAAAAGGCTTTTCCATAACCCCATGAACATATCTAGGAAGAGCAATGTTCTAGCTCACCATCTCTCACAACCCAGTTGGCCTCTGAACCTAAACCAGCAGCTACACAAGGTATCAAACAATTCTTAGAATATGGAAAATAAAATGTAGGAGCTGATAGGAAGCACCATCAGCACCACCTGAGGCAGCTTTCCCAAAGGTCAAACAACAAAAAAACACCCCACAGTTTTAAGTTACCAGAGGTTCTATCTCCCTCCAGTGCTCTGCCATGTCTCACTGGTACCAGTAAGATGTACTTGATTATCATGGGACAAAAAAAACCCCCCAAACCTTCCAAAGGTCCCCTGCTTCCTTAAGTTTTAGAAGCATTTCTCAGATTTTAAAGGTCCCTATTAGAACAATACTCACCCATCAATGTTTTCCCTGGGAATAACGTTTTTAGAGACTCAAGTTGTTTGAACTGGGTGCAAAACCAAAGCGTAGGAAGATCTGTGGGTACCCCCACGCTGGGTTTCCAGCTGAGGGCAGCTGCAAACCTCCTGAGAAGACTTAAAATACTACAGGCAGAGAAATGAACAACGTACAAGTTGTTGGCAGCAAACTCCACCTGAGTGAACCCCTTATTTAACTTATTTAACTACAAGAAAGCTGGGGAAGGACTTTTCATAAGGGCAGTTAATGACAAAACAAGGGGAAATGGGTTTAAGCTGAAAGAGGGGAGGTTTAGATGAGATATTAGGAAGAAGTTCTTCACTGTGAGGGTGGTGAGACACTGGAACAGGTTGCCCAAAGAAGCTGTGGCTGCTCCTCCCTGGAAGTGTTCTCGGCCAGGTTGGATGAGGCTTTGAGCAACCTGGTCTAGTGGAAGGTGTCCCTGCTGCTGGCAGGGGGGTTGGGACTGGATGAGCTTTAAGGTCCCTTCCAACCCAAACCAGTGTGGGATTCTCTGAACTTTCCTTTGATACCCACCACAGCAGCTCATGCAGGAGGCGGCCGGATCCCCTTCCACGATTTTTGTCGAAGGCGTAAGCAAATATTTTAGCACCATTTCCATCAGCATCTACCTCCATCCGAGCCTAGGGGAAAGGGAAAGGCTGTGAGAACATCCAGCACCGAGTAGCAGAGCACGTGCTCTACTGGGATACGGGAAGGACCCAACATTTAACACCTGTCTCCTAAAGTTCACTTGATCTTAATGGAATTTGAGTTGTTTCAGCCCTCGAAAGGGAACAAACCAGCTCTGTTATTGTGGTTTCTGAAGGTTGGGAAGGGGAAGAAGGGAGGCTGAGCACAGCAGGAGTCCCACATGGACAAAGAGCAGCAGCAATCGGGTTGTGAGGCTGCAGGGCCAGGATCTGATCTCCGCTGGGGCACAGATGTTCCCTACAGCCACCAGCAAACCACCCAGGCTTTGTTTTCAGTGTTGCTTGACACTGATCTAATTAGGGGTTGTCAGTGAAAGGAGCAGGTCCTGCCCTCTTTTCTCCACCCCACAACTTTGTGCTGGTGCTAACGCTCACCAAGAGCACACCAAGGAGTAGAGAAATTCGGGGTATTGCCACTCTCAGCCACCACGTGGGAGCTACCAGGGGAGGAACGAGCCAACAACGGTGTTTTCATGGAAGCTCCTCACAGCAGCTTGAAGCACCCGCTGCCCTGAGCAAAAGATGGTCTTTCCTCTAAAAAACCCTTAATTTTAGAAGGTTTTGTAATCAAGAATTCTTTCCTTTTCAAAGTCTTGGTTGAATTCTCTTCCTCTCTTTCAGTGGATGTTAAAACTTATAATTTTTTTATGGTAAATTATAATAAATTAAGTTTTTCTCATCCAAGACGAGTGCAGAGCGAAAATTTGCCAAAAAAGTGTGAATAAGGGGAAAAGGAATTATCAGTTCACAAAAATGTGTACAAATAGAAAGGTGAAAACAAAAAACTATAGAATAAATTTAAAAGAAAGCAAAAAACCCCCAAAACCCAGAGGTTTTCCTGCTGGAAACACTCACATTGGTATTTCAATAATTTAAACTTTTTTTCCCCAA